ATGTTAAAAAAAAAGAAAAAAAAAAGAGGTAGTTATAATAATGAATACTTTGGGTTGCATGCCAAGGGTCGTGTCTCCTTGCATAAATTTTCCAGCTGGTCCTGTTGGCCCTTCGCGCGAATACGACACGACCCTTATAATTACTTGTAACTTGTAGAACTTGTCAATTCCATGAAATCCCCCCAGGAGTAATCTTGAAGGGATTGAAGAAAAAATCTCCCAGGCAGCTGGTCGGTTCTTTCTACGAGGATTGATTTTCTCTCCTGTTTAATGGGGGAAGGGGGCAGGGGGGGGGGGGGGGCAGGGGGGGGGGGGAAGGGGGGCATATTTATGCGGCGCTTTAGGTTCCCGTGATGAAAATTTCATTTCCGGACAATGGGGACCCCCCGCAGGTTCACAATCATCAAATTCGTGATCACCTCGCCCGCTCGCCACTATCTCTTCTCCCTTATATATACTGTATATATATATATATATTATATATACTTGGGGTGGGACATCCGTAATTTCTCTTCTCTTCCCTTCTGTGGACGTCTTCATCGCAATGTGTCATTTGTCTTGGACCTCGGGGTCGCAGGTGGTTCGTTCCGTGACCAAATTGTTGCGCACGTTTTTCGAACGTGTCCGGCTGGATTTTAATTCCGTTTTTTTTTTTCCTCTCGGCATTGTTTTTTCTTCTCTTTTCTGTTTATCATCTATGTTGCATTAATTTTTCGCATCGGTGATATCTTGAAAACACAAAACGATGCCTCTCGTTGCCGCCGTTCCCGATACGAGTTCGAGAATTGTTTCGCACTCTTTAATTTATATCTCCATACCTGCAGTCTCTTTTTTTATTTTCGCGGGTCACGAAAAATCGAGGCCGATTTCGGAAGCGCAAAAAGAAGATGGAAGATTTCCGGGCGAAGCCAACCCCGATCCGTTCCTAATCCCGGTTTGAGATGTGCAATTTGCATACCACCCTAAAGAGGCTTGACATCGTTTCGAAATTAGGAGCCTCGGCCCGGGTGTCACTTGGCTCAATGCCTAACTAATCCGCCCCCCTTTCCCCCCTTCCCCCCCCCAATCAGAAGGGGGGGAGCCCCGTGCATTTCCATGCAAAGAAGTACGATAACGTGCCAGATGCCTATCCGGAACGAATGGATCGAGAAAGAAAAATCCCCATCCGATTAATGAGGGTTCGAGTGAAACTCATTAAGGAGTCTCGTTCGCTGTCAATTCCAGAGGAGATTGGGAGGATAACGGGAAATCCCATTTACTTCGCTATTCCCCATCGATGGGATAAGGACGAGGAGCAAAATTGCTTGCCAAAATATGCTCAAATTCGGTGCAAAAAAAAAAAGCAAAAGAGAATTAGTCGCTTTGTTTGAGATCGGGTCATTACGGAAAGCTTTTCCCCAGGATTTCCCCCCGGCCGATTTGGCTTCGTGCAGATATGAGTGCAGGCGGAGGGAAGGGATTATGAGGGAAGGGGGGGGGGGGGGGGGGGGGTCGTCCCCGACTCGCAGGATGGAGACACGCTTTCACTCTCCGTTTCCCGCGAGGCAGTGGCGGGACGGAGGCGGACGGAAGCGGTGCCCACGAGCTCCCGACTGTGGGAAATCTCTCATAGCATTCCGCGTTTCGAGGAAAA